ACAATTTTTTTTTATAATACCAAAAATGTTTAATTTACAAAATAAAAATAGCTAATTGTTCAATCCAATTTTTAGAAAAATGTTGATGGTAAAAATGTTAATTTTTTATTAATATTTTTTTGGATTAAATTAATTAATTTGAAACGTAATAACGTTTTTGATAATATTGGGCATTTTCAAATATAAGTAAATCTCAAATTATTTACTATCCTTCTTATTTTTTTTTCTTTAAATTTACCCTCAGTAACATAGGCCATTGGAATTTTAACAGTGGGGGAGGGTATGATTGGTTAGAACAAGCGTCTATATATGTTGCGTGGACTTGTCAGTATAGAACCCGGGCGGTCACCCATCCGGGAACTAGTGGCACCGGCTGATGTTTGACTTAAGAACACGTTTTTGCAACTGCAGCCAACCACCTAGCCACACCAGTCAACCAGAATCATTTTCATATGCAAATATCCAATGATGTATCATATTAATATATTATCTAATGCAGTATTATTATTCAGTATTAAATCTTCATCAGTTGGTATTGAATTGGTTTGATCTGGCGTAATAGTCAGGTGGTATGTAATTAAATCTCAACTGGAATTCGTGTAGTCTTCAATATCACTCATTTTTTGTTACTGAAATGAGAATAAGTTCAACACAATCAGCCTGTTTTGACATAATTATTATTTATTATAATAATAACTAGTTCATTATTGATGAATAGACAACAAAATTAATTTTTTTTTTAAACTGGCGTCATAAATGATAATTACACACGTTGCCGTCCGATGTTGAGCATTACTTCGACGGTCATTAGATATCTATTATAAAACGGTTTTATATCCCTATCCATTCACTATACAGTTAAATTATGCCTCAAACAAACTGAAATTTAATTGAAATCGCTCCCTTCCTCCATTTGTATAAACGCTCACCAAAAAAGTATGTGTATTTTGTGATTTGTGTGCTTGGAATTGTTTAAAATATTTATACATTTTACTATTTCATTGCCAAGGTGACTAAAAATAGATATTTCCAATGATTTATCTAATTATTTATTATTTGTTACAATTAGAAAGTCTAAAGGTAAACATTTTTATGTTTAGACTGTTTATAGAGAGCATTATTCAATGGATCGATATAAATGCTATAAATGTATCTTATAACCCGTGCCAATTTAAATACTAGGATATATTAAGTCAATGTTTCCCAAACTAGGGATGCAAGTTAAAATGTTTAAATAATGTTTTGTTATCATTATTATTTATTATTACTAATAAATTACTATCATTATCATAATGAATAAATCACAAATATGAAATAATTATGTACGAATGGAATATTGGTAATATTGTTTGAAATCCTATGCACAAGTATTTTTGAACTTGTGATCTTATAATGTATGTCAATATAAATATATAATTATATTCATTGTCACGTTAGCTGTTGAACATTTTTTTTATTCAGACCATACCCAATTAACCCTTTTTGTCCTATTCCATGGACCGCTGCAAATTGCAATGCAATTCTGGACGGACCCCTTGCACAGGTTACAAGTAGTTAACACACCTATAATGTAATATGATTCACACAAAAACATATGGTAATATAATGTGTGTTTGACACTTGGGTCTAGGTTTTGAATATTTATGGTGCCTAGCTAGTATGGGTAATAATATTATATTTCTGTAAGACTGTGAATGAGCGTAGTATAGTGGTGAAAACCACTCAACCTAAATTGTTGAATCTTGACAATATTACAAGAGCTGAAGGGTGCAATTAAAATAAAAAGATATATGGATATTGGATACTAAGAAATAAACAGCAATATAATTATATAAAGAGTACTTTATACATCCACGTTTTATCTATTTTTCTTATATATCAAAAAGATAAATCAAATACTCATTGCAATATATTATACCTTATAAATATGTTTATATTGTATTTAATATAACACATACATACTTACTTAATACCTTTATTATAGAATTATTATGTTGTATAATATTTATTTTAAATAAAACATCTAATCTTTAGTTATAAGTAAATCTATTATTGTATTACCTATTGAATTCATATAGTCGTATATACATTATAGATATAGACGTTTCCCATTAAATCAACTGCAAATACTTAACAAAATAAAAATATTATAATCAACTCAATTTTATTCATAACAGTATTTTTTCAAAATATTTATATTTTAATATTGCTGTATATTGTTGTGAATACATTTATCAGTGTACAAAAATATTTACTGGTAAACATCCCGAAATTGTTTCAATAATGACAGATTCAAAGATTTTAAACATTATCCCGCAAATGTCAACATTTAAATAATGACTTGTGAATTGTTGTGTTATAATTAAAATATGACAATAATAATCACCCGTAATATTTTAAAATGTCTGCTTCAAAGTTATAATAATAAATAAACAAAATGATAATGCTTACAAATATTTACGTAGCGGTAGCGCTGTAACAGGGAACACAACACCACATAAGAATAATGGCATTTTCCTGGAACACGTAGGACGTATTACGTATAGGTATACTTTAGTTGCGTACACATGTTAGCACTAATACACCTATAAATAGTTAATCGATATCTCCGTTCTGGGTTATTTATTGCTGTAATAATATGATAAAGCGCAAGTACTGCAACACAATTAAGACATGAATATTACAACATTTGTAATTGGCGATGGAAAGCTTATCAATTTTTAGGCCGGCGGGGAGTGGTCTGTAATGGGGATCGTGGAAAAACAACATAATATACATTATACACAGCGTCCCCGTTACAGCTTATTACTTTCTATCGCCAATACAGAAGATGTGATGTTCAAATATTGAATTATTATATTATAAATTATTAACATTATTACAAATACATTTGTAACTTTTCAGTTAAATTATTTGTACATAAATATCAATATGATATTATAATACATATTATATACATGTCCAATATGTTTATTAAGTCACCCCACTTTGTCCCCTCGATTTAAAATTACCTAGAAATAATTGCGAACTAATTTCAAATGATCGAGAACTAGGTTTAAAATCTTCCAGTCATAAGTAAAATTATTTTTCAAGTTGTTATAACCAACTTCATGTAATCTTCGCCCTACCCTCAGCTCAATCTTCTTTGTCCGATACACTTCAAAATATCACTAAATAATTGAAAATCCATTTTTATATTTTTTTAGCCAACTTTATCCGATTAACTTGTATATTATAAATATGTATAGTGTGTTTAAAATATGTTTGTATTTGTATAATACTTATACATATATATATATATTTTAAATTATTTATTTCGTCTTTATAAGTTTGACGTTGATTCCCTTTGTTTATAACTTAAAAATAAACTCGATACACCGTTGTCATCGAACAATAGACGACCAAAATTAAAGAAATTTATATTTTAACATATTTTTTTATTTGTACCGTTGATTTCACCCGACGAACAATAGGCGTAGCTTATAATTTATATTACCTATATTAGATGCAATAATGAAAAAAGTACAGACTGTAAGGTACTTAAAGTACTGTAAGGCCTTCGAGTCATCAAGTCACTTTAATGTATGTGTTAAATTTGAGTTCAATGATAAATCATTGCATACGAAAAACGATTCTGGCGAAGACGGGCTGTCAGTCTCATCACTTAGATAGTATATTTTATCACATATTTATATCACTATTAAAGAAATTTATTTTACTATTAGTATTACGTTATGTTGAAATGTTGAATTAATATTTACTAAAAACATTGCATTTGAAAATGGTATTGTGTACATTATAATATAGATGAAACATTTCTAGTTCCTATACGAATAATAACTTTGAATTATAACAATACAATAAAATCGTTATTCTTCGTTTGAAATTTTGAATTTCAAATTTAGTCCAAATTTGAAATTCTCGTATTTATTAAAATAATGCTCATACTTTTTAGATTTTTTGATATACGACTATATGACTTTATATCAATTTTTTAATTTCGTGGTATCGAATATTTTATACATTTTTATTTACGATATCATTTTATGGTTTTATGGTTTCGCAATTTCGAACTCTTAAGTAAGTTCATGTTCAATTTGTTATCAGAAGACACCTTCAAAGTTAAATATCGAAGTATTTTTCTACTAGTATTATCGTGTATCACACACACGAAAAAAATAAAATTTATATCATTGCAGATTGCAGAATCAATACATAACCTAACCGTTTAGAATTTAAATAATTTCGTTTTTATTCAACGATGAAAAACTATGATTTTTGATACGCAGACATTCGCAGTCCCACAAATCAAAATTTAAAATTGTATTAGTGTTGTTGTACTTACATCAAATATAATAAGATTATAAAATCTTAATTCTTATTAATAATTTAATACGTTTATTTATAGTCATAGGTACTGCATAGGTCATACTAATTATTCATTACAAAAATAACAACTTATGGTAAAATGAAGTTTGATGGTAAGTACAATTTTTGGCAATGGCATCACCTATAATTTCGTAATCAATAACCAATAAGACGAAGTAATGGGTTTCATTTTTTGAAATTAATTTACAATTAGCGAAACATGTTTTTCCATTATTTTGTGGTATTTTAAGTCGATCGGACAAAGTGGGGGATTAGTTTTATATACCTATACTGCCGTCCTAAGGAAGAATGCCGTAAGTTTCCTTCATGCCATTTCGAGAAAAATGAATTTTTATGTTTAGTAGTTTTTGGTAGTTCTATTTTCATAAATATAATATTTTTCAAAGTAAAATACATATTTTCTTACGGAAATATACTCAATGAATGCAATGGAACTATTCAATTTTATTTAAAATTTTTAATTCACCAAGATATGCTTGTTTTGATATTCATGCTAAGTACGTACCTACTTAATTATTTAGAATAAGTTACTTGGCAAAAATGCCGTAATTCTAGTTACGGCTTTTTTCCGTAGCATACCAAAATGTACTAATCACTAAAAATTACAGAAATAACGCCGTATATTATCAATACTAATTTTTAGTTTTAATTTATAACACAATTTGAAAGTAATTACAATATCTTTATCTTGAAATCAAAGTCATCTAGTCATTATACATTTTTAAGTCAATACCGAATATTTGGAGCTTGCTCACGCCGATAGTGTGATACAGTCGGGTTAAATGACTCGATATGGTCTTCTATTAAATGTTGATGTAAATACTTTTTAGTCGGTTTCTTGCCACGAAGATCATCTGGAGCTTCTACTTGACCATTGGGATAATGTCTTAATATATCTAGAACTCTATCATTTGTTTTTTTAAAGCCTAAAGTGGTTAAAAAAAAAGGGTTTGCATACTTGTATTTTGATACCTTGTTCATCAGTTATATAAAATTTTAAAGCATTTTTGCGGTTAGTCAGTTCAGTATTTTTACGTGTTTTGACATCCACGCATTGACACGTACTCAATATGAAAACTCTACGTTCCTTCCAGGTCATATTCCAATATTGAAAGTTCACATCAAATCGTCTTTCTTCTGTAATTTTTCTATAGCACTGTTTTTGGCAATTTTCTTTATCGCAGCCTGGTAACACCCCGTGCCGATCTTTTTCTAAGTCTAGTTTTATTTTTTTTCGCATTTCTACACTCGTTAAATATTTTTTCCTTTTCCTAAGTTCCCCGGATTTCGTGAAAAGCTCTACTTCATTGTTAACCACAACACCATCATCAAAATAAATAGGTAACTCTGATATATTATTTACGACGGATTCATTATCATCTGAAAATTAGATAGGTACACCCAATTCTTTATTTTTCGAATGAAATAATAATCATCTAATATTTTAAGTTATAATTTTATAATATTATGTATAATATAATAAAATATATAAATATAATTTTATTTTATTATATAATTTTACTATTTTACCTTGAATGAGTTCTTCAATTCCATCTAATAAGTCTGATGCAATTGTAATTGTTGAGTCTGGTGAACCTGGTATAACATTTATGTTTGGGTCATAAACAAATTCATGTTGTGCATTCATTGCAAAAATAAAAATTGTACTTCGTCAATTCACGACGATATATCATAGATAACTGAACGAAATATAGAATGTGTATGGTGTACAACAGCAAAACTCCAAACATTATCAGTAATTTAAAATTAAATTATAAGATACGGCTTATTGACGACCAGTTTTCTAAACAACAATGCCGTAAATATAGATTATAATGAAGTGCTAAGTAAAAACGCCGTATTTTAGAAAAAGATACGGCAATCTTCCCTAGCAAACTGTGATTACGGCGTTTTTGCTAAGCATCGATTATATTTAATTACAATTGCGGCAATATTTGTTTCTTATAAGCACACATATCTCGATGAATAACCATAGTTACGGCATTTTTACTTAAAAACAACGTGTAAAACTGTAATTTTAAACGTAATACAGAATAATCTCATTTTTTTTTTTTTTCTATTTACGGCATTCTTCCTTAGGACGGCAGTATACATATGAGATATAACTGATAACATGCCAATATTGACAGCCGTGTGTTATACGTTTAATATATTTTCATTAATAACAAATACCTACCAAAAGTAACGGTGCCCATCATAGATGACGTAATACGTAAACCTATAATTTATATATTATATTTATGCAGGGTAGAATTTAGGTTGGGGCGTTGTGACGTTGGGTCTATTTTGTATGGGGTGGTGGATCAATTCTGTAACCCGAAATGGCAAAAGTCATAACATATGTACCCTATAGTTCATAAAAACAATACTGGCTAACAATATTTTGATCGAAGTATAAAATGATACTGTGGCGAGTAAGGCACAACAATATAAATACGACCTGCAATCTTATGTTAAGAAAAATAAAAAGCACATTTAAGTTGGAAATTTCAGGACAACATTTGGGATACATATATAATGAGAGAGAGAAAACCCGTCTACGATGGAAACTTTTAATAACCATTTTGTAGGTTTATAATATTATATAACAATAATAATTAATGTTGCCTGTTGATTTTCGTATTTTTTTGACGGCAAAAAAGAAAAACCACTTTTGAAAAGTTTTTGGTGGAAATCCGGTGTTGCACAGCACGCAGTACCTGCATATTATAATAAATACCACGGCGTGTTATGCAGAAAATCATGACCACACGTCATTTCCGTCTTGGGTTCACAAAGTTTTTGACACGACACGACGTTAATTTTTTTCGCATTTAAGTTTCTGCCCCAATTGCTGTATCCTCTTTCCTTCGTAGCGCTTCGTCTCATTCCTATGGTCTTAAATAAACTGCGAAAAAAAAGCGCCAAAAAATCGATAAAACGACATTAACACGATGAAGCGGTAGTGGTGCGGGCACAGCATAAACTCGCGTTATTACAAATCTGCCTCTACCCACGCGCACATTTCTTTTTTTCATATTATTATAACTCGTACGTAAGTGTATATCTACTATAGTACTATATATAGTTGGGTCGTAACGGCGGTATGTATCGTATGTGTGGGTATAGTTATTCATCGCATCAGAAGCAGCGGAAACGCGTTAGCGATTTTCTGTGCATGGTGAGAAAGGGCGAGCGATATACTAGTGGGGGGGGGGGCAGGGGTGGCTTATACATTAACGAACGCTTATTCGATATATAGGTATATCGTATATACATCTAGGCAGAGACGATGGTTGTATATACATCATTTTTATGTATATATATATTATATGTACTCACACACACAGCCGTAATCTAAGTATATAAAATGTCCGATCTTATGGCTATAAGGCACACACACACACATACGCACGCACAAGCAGTTTACGTTTAGCCGTTCAGGGTTCAGGTTTAGTGCGCCGCGAAGGATGAAAGGATTTGGCAGAAACGGCGACGCTTAAAAGGTTTTTCTGGGAGAAAAAAAACCACACACACATCAGCCCGTACACAAATAATATATATGCCTATATAGATATTGTATTATATAGGTGCACGGCTATTGCGTAGGTGGGTGTAAAGGGTGTAGAATTCGCCGAGCGCGTAATATTACACATCGTGGTGTCACGATACGAATATACGATACACTATTAAACGCGACTGCGAGAGTCTGTTTCACGAATCGTGAATTCGCGTCCCTCGGGATCTGGTGGAAAAAACAATCGGCTTATGGCCAACGCACACACACACACACACACACACACACTCGCACACTTTTATATAATAATATATGCGTACATCCTGTCGCGTTTTCAGGAAAGATAACAATTTATAATGCAAACGGTTAACCTACCCACACGCGTGTTGTGCACATTATTATTATCCCATCGCGCGATACGACCTCGCAGTCGGGAGTTCGGGACGTATCACAAAGCAGTGCAATGTGTGTATGCACAGTAATAAAATATTAATATTAGGAGGTATGTATAATATTATATCATCAATCGTGATTCGCGAATTCGTCAGAATAACAATAATATGGTACCTGTGTAGAAAGTACGATACTCGTTTGTTGCAGCTGTAAGGCGTCGTCGCGGGGCTCATATTTTAATAGCAATTTAAAACGAATCCCCGTCAATTGATAATAATATTATAAATAACAATAATGTGCAATATCGTGTCGATGATATATCCAAAATTATTACTCAATACCTACACGCGCGTATTGTGCATATGATATTATATGATGTTGTAATATTTTCGTCATGCGTGCGGGGAAATGAATTTCAACGATATTTTCAGCCACTGTTGTGTACGCGGTACATTATAATATAAATAATATGATACGTAGGTGGTATATATTATTAGGTATATTGTGTATACGAAGCCGTAGAAGCGCTTCGCGGTTCGCGTGTACACAGAATTGTAGATTTATATATATTATCATACACGATATGGAACTATTATAGAATATGATGTATAAAGACGTGTTTATTATTATTACGTTATATAATGGGTTCAGCACTTATTTTTAGATGTGAGCTTGCGGGAAGAATCCTGCATCGGCGGCGGTATTTTACGACGCATACGTGCGCGGGCATCCTATTTAATTTACTGCAGTGTAAACAATACTTTGATCTCGGCAGTAACGTACACGTGCGTAAGGCACGTTATTAATAAGCTGCTGGCTGCTGGCTGCTGGCTGCCGCGACTGCTGTGATCGATCGGAAATCGAACAATATCGCGAATATAAAAAATGCAAAAAAAAAAAAAAGAGAGAACCAGTAAAACGACATATTGTCATCGCATTGACAGCTGCTGGCTGGTCTTCGGCTCAGACTCTCCGCGCGTCCATACGGATGTAAGGCGGTTATTATTATATACGAGCTAGACGCACCGCACTCGTGTTTCAACTTTCTAGGTGATTTTTACGGCTTGGTTTGTATTCCGGGGAGCACACTTCGCCAACGTGCAGCGGTCGGCACCACCTCCTGACATTCGACTCGTGTATTATGGTCGTATAATTTAATAAGCTATGTGTGTACGTGATACAATTTTGCGGTTGTAATACACCCACACATATATATATATATATTATTTTTATGATTTTGATAATATAAAGTGCAAAACAATTTCTCATAATCACATGCGTATAGTACATAAATGTTGCTCGATATTAATATATACCTATATAAAATATTATTTCGTTTTGTTTCCACAGACATTTGGCTTTTCAGACCAAATAAAACAGTTATTATTTTTCGTTATAAATGGAGGAAACAAATAATACATACGTATAATAACTTGTGACTTGTACAATATAGCAGCCAGCAGGTATGATTTATGGTCTTTCCGAGCTATAAAACCATGGAGTGTGATGCATGTATGGAATATGCGTATAGTATTTTAAAAATGTTGCAGGTGTTACGAGCTTACGACACTATCGATTTTCAACTTAAGTCGCACTAATGATTAGGAGAGTAATGACGCAGTTATATACTAACTTATAACGAAAACACTAACATGATAACTCTTGACAAAATTGAACATTCCATATTATAATGACGGTGTAAGACCAAAATAAAAATATTAAAACGAGGTTATGATGAATACCAATCATATAATAGACAGTTTCAATTATTTAACCTTCCCTGATTAATCTGACCCCTTGAATTAAAAATTACATAATATAAAAAACACACATTGTTGAGTTAAGAGGGCTATTGAATGAAACACACAAAATAAAAATACACATACCAACACTGAGAATAACTGCTAACCCTAAAAAATAATTAATACACCTTTTCATTTGTATTGATGATATTTAATTTAATACATTAAAATTCGTTTATTAGTCTCCTACAACAATTTCGATTAATGAAATAATAAACAACAATAATATATTAACTGTATATTTTCGTGCCGGCCAGTGTGTTTAAAAATATGTATTAAGTGTAATTTATTAGTAGTTACTAGTAAGTATTAATATGTTAGCCCATACCTGCAATAACATAATCAATGATAATAGATATGTTTAAAAACAACTAAATTCATGTTTCAATAAAACTAGAAGTTATTTAATAAAAAAATAAATGAAAGTTAATTTTTGGTACCTATATGAAATATTGGAAATAATACGGTAAATGGTAATATATTTTCAATTATTGCTAAATACAATATTATTTTTTTGTCAGTGAACAATTCCAGTTATTGACCATCGTCCAAATTATAATTGTAGTGTTTAATTTCCTATTAGGTGAAGCAGGGTAGAACCCCTTTAGCCCAATTTACAGGTAATATAATATTGTAGAAGGGATAATCTTCCTAAATATTTTAGAGCTTTAATTGCACACTTGGACCCTTCATGATGCGACTCGACAGAAATTAAATCCTAAGCATGCATATTATATGTAGTTTAGGTGTATCCGATAAACTGCGCAACCGTATGGATTACACATTTTAGTATTTTACTATACACACGATTCCGCACTTACTTAATGATTATGTGGAATTGACGAGAAATGAAAACTATTGAATACTATTTACTAAGCTCGAACGATCAATGACTATCGAATACAGAATATTTTAGAAAGCAATATTTGAAAATACGTTTGTTCAAATCTCATTTCATCTGAAACTTTATTTTCATTGTATTCGACATGATGATACATATATAAAAAAGTTCAAATCTTTTTTTAAAATCACAATTGTTTTAATTCCCATATACACAAATACCTAATCATTTTTATACTATAACTCGAGTATCATTTGAATTTTCATTTTTGTATGAGCAATTTTTGTCCAATTTTATATTCTACGCGTCATTTAAAACAATATAATATATTCCATAGAAACATATATTACATACCTATCAATTATAATTATAAATACATATTCAATAATTTGAATATTATAATTTTTGCATTGTTTTTGAACTCTTGATTGATTATTATAAATATATATGAAAGTACTATAACTTCTATAATAATCAATTTTGGCAATGCATATATTAACAAATGAATGAGGTAATTAAAATATATTTATATAATAGCTATAATAAT